TATCAGTGTCTTGTCATATCTGTGTCGTAATGTCCGTGTCTATGCATCATAGATATCAACTATGATTTATCCCATCCAAATTTGGTACGAAGGATCATGGGTGGAAGTTTGTTGAATATGCAATTCTCAATGTCAACTTTTAGCTCATTTATTAGTAAAATGCATATTGTACCTCTCCAGCTAAATGGTTCATAGGTTTAGCATGCTAAGGCAATTGAAGATTTAGGTTTACTAAAATTGGGGAAACAAAACTTAGATTTAAGAAGCTGATGATGTTTGTACAGTCACTCCTTGGAGCGATGATTATAGTCTTCCTAGGATGTTTTGATGCCTAGCATTTATTTGAGTTAATGGATCCTTCTATGCTTGATGCATATATCGAGGAGATTTAGATTATTAAATGCCTTAACACATTTCCCAGAGGTACACATTTTAGCATATGTCAAGATCAAGATGATAGTTTCACTGAGATCTTTAGATTAATTATTAGTTTAGATTAATTATTAGATATACATTTGCAAGCTTTTTAAATAAAAATAAGTTTATAGCGGTTTTCCTTAGTAAATTTGTTTGATATTGTGTAATTTTGATCAATAAAATCTTTATTGGGAACCATAGAACATAACCATGCTTGGTATGCAATAGCATGCTTTTTGATGTATTAGCATAAATATCAAGGCAGTAGCATGAATGCACATGTTGGATGGCTGTTAATAAATCTATATATCTTTGAAGATGATGTAGAGCTTAGGTAGGCTTTACAAAGAAATAGGGTTGTCAAAATGAGTTTTTGGGTCGGGTCAAACTCAAAACTAACCCACCTTTGACTGATCTGACACGAACCCGACCAGATTGGACAAACATGTCAGAAATTGAGAGCTGGATCCGACTCGTAGTGTTACTGGGTTAACCCGACCTGACCCGCAATGACTAACTAGCGTGCTGCGAGCGTCAAGCACGAACTACGGGATTGCAGGTGAAAGCAGCCTGGCAGGACCATGCGGTGCGCAGGCGTGAGTAAGCAAGCGCGCGGGTGTGGGAATACATTAGCGAGTGAGGGCGATCTGGCGAAGCCACACGAGTGCGGGTTTGCTGTGGCGAGGGTAAACTGGCAGGACCACATATAATGCAGAATGCGACTGCTCGTGTGAGTTGTGAGCGAGTGCAAGGAGTCTGGAGAGTTCAAATGCAGGTCAAATTCGGCTTAAACTTGGACCTGACCCGATTTTTCAAGCAAATAAAAATTTTTCCTTATTGGGCTCAAGATTCTCTGGATCAGGTTAAGGTAGGGTCAATAACTAATAATTAACACCCCCACAAAGAAAGTTTGTGCAGTAGAGTATTGACAATTCCTTTTAAGTCAAAAAATAAAAGAATCGAATATTGCTAACCATTGGATAAAATTGTCATTTGGAGGTCAAACATGTTGACTTTGATCTCTAGGATTTTATTTGGACTTATATCAAATTTCTTTTTTACATTTTAGATTTTCTATTTCTTCTATATGTTAACATTTATTAAAATATTATCTTGGCATTCAACTAAATAAATATGTAAGAATAGACCAAACAATAATCAAGTTAAAAATAACTATTTTAACGTTGTTCAACACTCAACTGACCTACATCCACATCAAATGCACACATAGACTAGGCTTTACTATCCATACTAGCAACCACAAGCTCAACTCCTTACCGCTTGAGAAGAAATAGAAACCTTCACTATCTTGTCTAAAGGGCAATAATACTCATTGTTTGATGAAAAAAAAAATGTTACTGCCGACTCAATTCATGTCTTAAAATTAACTAAGAGAAGTTTAATAAAAATGATTAAATCAACTAGTATTTCTGGTATGTAAGTACATACACCAAATGACCAATATAACAAAAGAATTATATTTCTATTATAATAGGAAATCATCATTACAAATGAACAGAAGAGCAACATATCAAAAATAACATTATGATTACAAATAAACTGATGGGGACATTAGATCGTGGAAGGTTTATCAGAGGCATGACTGCCGATCTATGGTCACAATTGAGTCATTGTACTTTTGATTTATGTTATGTATTGTTTTATTTATGTGTCATTGTATTTGTTTTAATTTTTATGTTGTTTTATTTCCCGTTGTACCCTTCTAGTAAATGGATGTCATATGTAAGCCCTGGGGGCATTTTCGTCTTTATTTCTTGACTCTCATGTACTGGGCTATTTATAGCCCATTGTTTTATTTTTCAAGTAATGAATGATATTTCGAGAATTATATTTTCTTGTTGGAGTTCTTGAGAGAGCTTGAGAGATCGGAGAGAAACCCCTTCGAGAGGGAGATTGGCGCGTCATCCACTAACCTTGGAGACGGCCGGGTTCGTGGTTTTCCTATCCTCATCTTCTCCAAACCCCATATTCCCCTTCCCCACCTAGCCATTGACCAAGGACCCCCACCCATTGCCGCCGGCCACCTAACCTCTCCTCTCGACCCCTACCCCCAACATTCAATTTCCCACATCCAAACTTCCCCTCACCCGTCGGCCCTAACACATAACCGCCGGCCCCACCACCACCCACGTCATCCTTAGGTTTCCTAATTTGGGTGAAGGCGATTTGGAAACAATTTGAAATCCAAAATTCTTTCCTAATTTAATCCATCTATTTTAGGAAAGTATCTAATTTAAAATCAATTTGAATTTAAATTCAAATTGGATTTGTTTTTTTACTTTCCTAATTCTTAATTTAAAATTAGGAAGCTTTAACTCTCCCCCATTAATTCCCCCCCCCCCTGCTCATGCATGCCGCCGGCCCCCCTTGCTCTTTTCTCATTAAATCCCTTTAAATTATTTCCTAAACACAGCTCCCCACTTAGGAAATAATTTCAAAACCCCAATTCCCTCCTTGGCCGAAAATTCAAAACCCCCAACCCTTAATTACTTTCCAAATCCTAAATCTAGAATTTGGAAATAGATCCCTCCTCATCCCCTTAATGCTGCCAGCCCCCTCTCTCTACCCGTCGCCTCTCTCTCCATCAATTCTCCCTTTCTCCACTTAATTCCCCACTGTAATTTAGGGATTGGATTTTCCCTCTTGAAGTTTCTTCCTTTGATTTTCTAAAATTTGAAATTAAATTTCAGATTTTGAAAGGAAGCTTGTTCTTTCCCTCTTCTCTATTTCATGTGGACGAGAAACTTCTTTCTCTTCACAATAGTCGAGAGCGCTAGCAATCCTTAGAAGACTTTGTCATCTAGCATCTATGAATGGCGGATCCAGAAATTGAATACGGTCTCTCCTACGACGAGCACGGATTTGTGTGCATCTTACTTTCAACTTTCTTCGACGTCAACCCGAGGATCGACCACACGGTAGAAGATTACATCGAGCGAATCCTAGATACCTTGGTGGAATCCATCGAAGAGAAATTGGAGATCGTCGAGTGGAGGATCGTCGCCGATCATTGACGAAGGTTTCCTACGCCCCCTTTTTTTATTTCTTGAATCTAACTTTTCTCGTGGTTTGATTGTAGTTACAAAGGACGTCTCCTCCTGCTTCTGCATGCTAAGCTTAGTAAACGTAGAGTTTTGAGTGTACTTCTTTGCTTACTAATTCTCACTGTTAGATTAGGGATTTTTATTGAAACTACTATTTTGGCATAACGTTGTTTTCTAATTTATTTTAAAAGTTTCAAATATCTGATTATGTGATTTAGCCTAAGCGGGAGTGACCCCTTTTTCATTTTAACTCATTGTTTTAACTGCTAATAGTTTTCTTCACTATTGTTTTAAGTTATGCAAATTCTAAACAAAAATCATTGCATTCTTACGTAGTTCTACATCATAGACATAATTATTTTTATTTCAATATTGACATGCATGAAAATTTAACGCCAAAAATTATTTTTCCTCCATGAGTTATATAGAATTAGTCCCATAAAACGGCGGCCTTGCGATGACCCGGTTAGGAGAATAGAGGTATTAGATTTGACTTATGTTAAGAAAGGTAGGGGTAGACCTAAAAAGACTTGGTTAGAAAATATTAGGAATGACCTTTCTTTATTAGATTTAAACGAGAATTTGACTTTTAATAGGACACAATGGAGAAAAAGGATTCATGTAGCCGACCCCACGTAGTGGGATAAAGGCTTGATGTTGTTGTTGTTGTTGTTGAGTTATATAGAATTAGTGAGTAAAACTGCATTCTTATTCGACAAATGTTGCTCCAAAACAAGACTTTTGGCCTTTAATAATATATGCTGATTGCTTAGCATCTTCGGCTTTATTTGGGGGGCTTTTTTAATGTTTTTCAAAGCAGATTTCTAGTACAAAAAATTTTAGTTCAATAAATTTTTATATTAGAAAGCTACTTTAAAAACATCAAAAAAGTCATCCCAAACGAAGCCTTAGAATCATAAAAGTTTCCTAGTACCCTGAAACTAACTTATCTGATGTCCAAGATAAGGTTGCTCATACCAAAAGTGATATATTATCTTCGATTGTTAGTTATGGTTCTGTATGGGAGTTTATGCTCCGATACTTCTGATCTACGAAAAATGGAAACCTCTTAAGACTATTGCAATGGGAATGCTTCAAGCAAGGCAAGTGTCGTCCAAAAAATTCTCAAAATTTGATGGAGCAACACATCAATAGCACACAATTTTTAAGCCAATTTCTTCAAGAAATCCAGTTTTTTTTTTTGTGCAATCGCTTTTATTTTTTCAAGAACGTTGATGCTTTTGAGCTGATCTCTTATGGGCATAGCCAAACTATGGAGGTTAAAAAAAAAATTTAATTAACTCATGGTCCCATTCGAAAGCCAGCTTATGTTTGCCAACACTCGTTGAAATTCTGAATCCGTTTATAATAACTAAACATGATATCTAAAAGGAAATTAACTAGTTCAAAGGAGTTGCCGAGATTCAGCTTTTTGGCCGACCAGAAGCAAGAACCCTAGAAGCATAAGCATGTGAAGGAGAAGAAGAGATTAGGATAAGGGGTGGTACAAGGGCGTACCGTAGCTAGGGCTTGAAGGTGTACTGCTGCGGAAGCTAAATGGGACCTCTGCGGGATTCGTCGTTGTCGAGGAGCCTATGTATTCTTTCTAAGCGCAATGCTGACGATCATGGCGCTTCAATTGTTCAACAATCCATCAGAAATTGAGAATATTTGTAATGGTCGCACGAAGAGATAAGAGAGACCAAGCCTAAAGCTTAGATATAAATGAGTCGACTCAAGAATCTCAGGCTCAAGCTCGGCTCGATCTTGTTAAGAAAGTTTAAATTTGGCTCATGAAATAATTAAAAATATTTTACATATATTTTATTAATAGACTTTAAAATCCAAATTAACTTCCAAATAGAATGAATTTGAATGGAAATTAACTTTTCAAAACAAAATGAACTAGATAAATCCTAAGATAAGAAGAAAACATTATTTTTTATTTGAAATTTATATGCATGCCACTTAAATGCTTAAAACTTTTTATTTATTAAATTATCACTTGATTAATTTCTATTAGGTGCTCCTGCTCAAAACCTCAAAATCTTCGATAATGAAATAGAGACGAGAAAATCACAGAATTAATGATTCCAATGATGCGCAAAGAACTCGACGATATACAATTGAGGAAGTCTGAAAATGGATTAATGTAAAATAAATTAAGGCTTTGTTTGGAAAGGCTTCTTTATTATTTCTTCCTAAGACTTGGCTATTGTTTTTTTATAAGTTGGGTGAAATTTGGTTATTGAGAAAATGGAGTTTTTTTGAATGCTTATGCAAATCTAAAAATATATTTGATTTGTTTGATTGTATTACGAGCTTTAGCATTTTAATCATAAAAGATTAAATTATCTTTAAATTAAAATTAAATATATATTATTTTTTAATTACTATTTTCTTAAAGTAATATTGAAAATTTTAAATTCTTTCATTTAACATATCATCTATGTTCATTAATTATATATTTGTTACTTACTATTTATTTCTAGTCTTATTAATAAAAAAATTAAATTTATTAATTTTTATTTTCGTAGTTTGAATAAATTACAATAATAATAATAAATAATAAAAATTTACATATCAAATCTTCTTATGATATTTCAATGTATAATAAAATAAATTCAGACTAAAAAACAAAATTAAAGACGTCGAAGTAAATTTCTCAGGAGGCGCTGGGGAATACGAAGGTCATAGCGTGCTGTTCAACGTACGAGCGTGTTGGGATATTTTCAACTGTTTTGTTCTCAAACAGAGGTTTTGAACAAATAAATAGTAATAAAAAATCTTTCTTAACCACCAAACAAACTCAAATTAGGAAAAAAGAATTTTAGAAAAACTGCAATTCGAAACATATCCCATCAACTGGTTTTTTCCTTTCCAACAGAAAAATGCTCTAATTTTAAGCCGCACCAAACGAGGCCTAAGGCTCATTTAAGCCATCTTATGATCACTATTTTTTTATTGCTTTCAAAAAAAATTATACTAATTTTTTTTATATAAAAAACAGTTAAAAAAACTCATAACAATCATTAAGTAAAGAAATATTCCCACAGAAATGATTACTGCACCATCAATCAACCCTAATAATTTTGGGGCATTAAGCAATGATCAAACATTAAAAGTTAGCAAAAAATTGGAGTATACAAATCATCAATTATGTACTCGATATATCTATAATAAAAAAAACCTGTCCTTCAATTTCTTTTTTAAGCAAGCAGCAGATCCTTTTCCCGCTTGAAGGACAGATTCCTATCACCAACAGTAAGTTTCCAGTTCTCCATTACTGCCGATCCAAATTGTTTGCTCACATAGGCACTATTTGATCGAAAGCAGTAAGGTTAATTAATTACAAGGTAAGGGGCGGCGTCCTTGGGAAGGAAGAAGGCGTATGTGAGCGCCATTGCAGAGGTGGAAAAGGTTTCTGGAGCGTGGATTGCAGCAGAAGCCACAAAGGGATTCCGACCTGTTGAATGGTCAGTCCTTCCTCTCGAGCTCTACAGATTGCTTCCATTAATATACTGCTTTTAGATTGGCTTTCACCTGCAAAGTTGATCCTAAAGGCTTTTCATTTGTAATCAGGTTTGCAGAAAACCACTGGACTGTTTGCAAAACCCAAAATATGTAAAAATGCTTTGTTAGAATTTGAATAATACTTGGAAATGTTAAGACAAAAAAAAAAAAAAAATCTTTTGAGGGAGAAGATAGCAAAGATGAAGATAATTTATATGCAGAAGAGATTACTAAGTCATAAGAATATTGAGTTTAGTTTTATCTTAATGGTGTTTAAAATATGTTGATGAAGGAATATCATATGATTTTAGCCCCACTGATAATGCTTTCTCTATTTTTGCAGTTTTGGTGGAGCTTGTTGTCCCCCCCTCCCTTTTAGGTATGTATTATATATTATATTTCCTTTTGTATGTTTTCTTAGTACAGATGTGCGTCTTTTAGCCTCCAAGATTTTTGGATTTTTATCGTCCTTAAAAAGGACAGATGATTTCTGCTCACAGACGAAGCCTAACAGTCCACATGGCCTTAGACATCCCGGCCATCCATCTGTAACTGACAAAATAAATCACAGCTATACATGTTTACACACAAAACACTATAAATACACAAGTATCTCCATGTAATAATTACATAAGAGAAATAATAGATGTCGCATTAAACATTCTACAGCCTTTCTCGATTCTTTTCTCTCAGCTCATTTCTTCATGGTATTAGAGACCGAAGATCCCAACAACAGACAAATCCCTGAAAACCTCCAATGGCCCAATCATCCTCATCTCAAATTGACAACCCACCATCAGATCCACCAGCAAAGTCTTGCACAATCCCTGCATCATTGAAATTTGCTATTTCAAATATTAAAACCATAGTTCCCACCCAATTATCCAATGATAATTACACCATATGAAGATCTCAGGTTACTAAGTTACTTAGAGCTATGGATTTGCTGCACTCATTGATCCAACAATTCCTCCACCATCCCGCCTCCAGCAAATACCGGATGGCTTGACTATTACAAATCCTAAATACACAATGAGTTCTCATAGATCAGAATCTAGTAGAAGCCCTTTGCTCCACCATAACCCCAACTATCCTCCCATGTCCTTCACCTAGACTCCTCTTTAGCCATTTGGACAACTGTTGAACGAAGGTTATAATCGTCTAACTGGTCAAGAGTTATTCAACTAAAAATTGAACTATATAATTAAGGTCTCAATGAAGCAACACACAATGGTTGAATATCTAACTGAAATAAAAAATGGTAGACAAAATAGCAACAACAGGAGCTACTATTGACAAGGAAGATATTATACTCTACAAACTAAATGATATACCACCATAATACCAATCATTTAAAAGTTCCATTCGCACCATGGTACATCCCCTCAATTCAGATGACATATACGCATTTCTGATTAGTGAAGAAATCAACCTTAAAGCCAAAGCAGCCAAACACTATACCCCTCCAGACCAGAATACAACATTATACTCAACCAGAGATAGAGGACGAAGAGGCAGAGGCCGCTTCACACATCAGACAGTTCGTCCCAACACCCAACCGGCAATACTATGTCAAATTTGCAACAAGAAAGGCCATTCAGCCACAACTTGCTAGCATAGATTCAACATCAACTTCACCCCTCCACCACAAAAATTAAACACAACCCTCACTGATACCAATGATAACCCCAATCTAGATTGGTATTTAGATTCTGGAGAAACCTCTCACCTCACTAATGATATTAATAGTCTTACACTTGGTGACCCAATACCATATAATGGAATAGACAACATCCTGATTGGAGATGGCAGCACACTCCCCATAGCTCACATCGGAGCTGGACTTCTACCAACACCCTCTCGTAAGCTTCAATTACCCCAAATCCTTCATATCCCAACATTATCTCATAACCTTCTTTCTATTTATCATCTAACCAAATACTAACATCACCATTTCATTTGATGCTTATGGTTTTACTGTCAAGGATTTCAAAGCAAACAAAACATTACTCAAGGGCCCAAGCCGAAATGAGCTCTATCCAATCCCAACTCCCTCATGCATCACTCAACAATCAACCTTCTTAGCCATTACCAATCATCAAGATGTAGCCATCTGGCATAACAATCTTGGACATCCCCACACCCACACCATATCAATCATCTCTAACACCAACAACTAGCTCAACATACCTACCTTCTCATTTTAATATTCAACATGTAATTAAGGTCTCTAAAGGCCAAAAACTAAAATTCCACTAGAACTTATCCATGTAGATTTATGATGTCCCTCTCCAATCACTTCACATCAAGGTTTTCGATACTATGTTAGTTTTATAGACGACTTTTCTCATTTTATATGGATTTTCCTAATGACATGTAAATGAAAAGTACCCTCCATTTTCATTACATTCCACACTATGATAGAAAAACAAATTCCCCACCATATTAAACAATTCAGGTCAGATGGTGGTACAAAGTATGTTAACAGAACTCTACAATCATATCTATAAAACATGGCATTATCCATCAAATTTCATGCCCTTGCACTCCTAAACATAATGCCATTGTTGAACGTAAATACCGACACATTATTGAAATAACAAGAACCTTATTAAATACAACCTCTGAAGCTTACTCATATTGGCCAGATGCAGTCATGAGTGCCTCTTATTTAATTAACAGGCTCCCATCCCATACAAACCACAATAAATCCCCATTATAAATTCTATACAACAAAACTCCCGATTATTTCATCATAAAACTGTTGTATGTGCTTGCTTCCCATGGATCCCTCCCCACAATAGACATAAAATGGCTCCCCGAGCCACCTCATGTATCTTTTTGGGATACTCAAACTCCCACAAAAGATATAAATGCCTCAACCCAACCACCAATCATATAACCATCTCCGAACACGTAACCTTTCATGAGACCACATTCCCATTTGCCCAAACCACAACAACATCACCACCCAAGACAATCCCTCCATCCAATCCACTACTTCTCACACCCATAACCCAAACCAATACCATACCCTCACCCCATATTACCTTCCCCCATCACATTACACCCCTAGCCTCACAAACCACCACTCCCACAAATCCTTCACCTGAAACCCATCCCTCAACACCATCTTCATCATCAACTCCCCACCCAATAACTATACCTCTCCCCAATACCATACAAACCACAATAC